AACCTGAGAGATTTTGAACGGAAGTGAAACTAGATATGTTTTTCTTTTGCATTTTTGGATCAAATTACAATAATATAAACATAAGAAACGTTAGAAAGGAGAAAAATTACATAAATAAACGATATAATCGTATTTTCTGATGACTGTAATGCCAGATTTTTATTAAAACAACGTGATTATATTAAAAAAGCTGCGATTACGATTTTTAAGCTTAGTGCTTAACATAATCCCTCTTGAATCATTCCTATCACCCCCCCAATAAATCATAAAACGGCGCAGTCCATTTTAAACCAATGGGAGCACAGGTAGAAATGATTGACAGGTGAAATGACGTCACTTACGTGACGTGACGTCACGTCACGATGAGGAAAACCATTTTGCACTCGACAGTACATTCTATCCTTCTACCATGATCGTGATTTGCAGAAGTTTGTGGACATAATGAATAAATACATTTGGTATGATGATATGGCATCACAGTACCTGCTCCAATACATCAGACAATAACTCAGCCACTCTGGCAAAATAGACTTATGTAACAACTGATTGGCTTGGCTTTTAACTTTCTACATATACAAGTGTACATATATATATATAGATATATATATATAGATATATATATATATATATAAGTTTTATATATATATATATATGTATCGCGATATTTCTAAATCATTGATAAAGAAAAAAACTTACATTCTGTTTTTAAAAAAAGGTCCGTGTGTGACGAGATGGTGAAAAAAGAAGTAAGTCTATGAACAAAAATATTGAATAGATGATGGAATGCAGCGAGGGTGCTTTCGGTAGATTAATTAAAGAATGCAGTCCCAAAGCTTAACTTCAGGGGACTGTTTCGGGGGTGTAGTAGAGAAAGATTTTTGTATTATCTACAAATTAGAAATAAGTCTATGAACAAAAAATATTGAATAGATGATGGAATGCAGTTTACTTCAGGGCTGCTTTTGGGTAATTATTTAAAGAAAGCAGTCCCACAACTTACTTCAGGGGGTCGTTTTAGGGTGTAATAGAAAAATATTTCTCCCCAATAATTCTGTTAAGAAATATATTATCACAGTTTGTTTTTCTATACTCGCGATATTAGTAACATCATTGATGATATAATGAAAAAAATATATATAATGAAAAAAAAAACTTAAATAAAATTCGATGAAGAAGAAAATTATATCAATTTTAAAAATAGTTAAATCTTATAAAAACCAATCATATTTNTTATTAAACACAGAGAATTTGTCAAAGAAAAACTTATATTTTACGAGCAATTATTTATTGTGACATTGTCACCATGCCAAACTGTAATTTTTCGTAACATCAGTCTAAATTTTTAGTAGTTTTTCGTGTCTGTATGTCATACTTACCCTGTAATGAATATAGAACAGAAATCACGTTATTTCAATTGAAATTTTCCTCTGAAAGCAGTTAATAGATGACTAGCACGACATTATTGTTAAAGAAAGTATGATGTACAAAGGCAATCCACTACTAACTTGAGATGGAAAGCATATATATTAAATTAATTTAATTTAAAATATTATCAAAAATTGCAGCTTGCAATTCTTACGATGACACAAGAAATAATTGCTCGTTCTTAAATATATTTTAAGTATATCTAATAAAAGAATTGCTGAGGGGTGAGAGATTATTTATTAATTTGATTAAGAATAAAAAAGTAAAAAAATACAGTATAGTAAAATGAATGTATCAATAATTTCTACTACATAAAAGGTTTCTGTTTTAGAAAATTGCTTCATTTATTAGTACATAATAAGAAAAACAATGAGTCAAAATTTTTATATTAATAATTTTAATACCAATTTTTCAGTATTGGATTCTTTAGGGAAACCGTCGGGAATTTTCAGTGGAAAGACATGGTTTCATGGAGATTATGATCAATGCTTGAATATTGAAGTTAGAAATCATAAAATAGGAAAAGATGATAAAAGAATAAACACAATTTATGGAAAATTTTGTTCATTATCTGTTGGATATAATTCATATAAATTTAGTGATGTGCCAGAAGATATTCAAAATACAAAATACTTTAGAATGGTTGAAGATATTTTCGTAAGTAATATAATCGACAATGTCAAATTATACAGGCCAACTAATATGTTTTACTATATTACAGCAACCATTTCCATTGAATAAATTGATTGAAATATTTAGTTTTAAGAAAGTAGCATTTCGTTTGGATATTTGTATACTGAGTAGATGTAACCGACAAGATGTAGAAAATATTCTTCAATGGGGTAAGTTAATAATAAAATTAATATCTTAGATATTATCCAGATACCTTTTTTCCTATAATTTTATAATTAGTAAGACGTTTATTCTCACAGTTAGAAAATTATTATTCATTTCGCTGCAATTTGAAAAAGATTTTAGACCTATATATTTCTACTGTCTGTCCTTCATTAATAATATCAAGAATAGTGTTAAATAGATGAAAGTCATGACAAAGATTGGAAAATTTTTTGGAAGGAGACCACGACTACTTTGGCATGGAGGAAGTAAAGTAGCTTTGAATTGAAATCGTACGATTTCAATTCAAAATTTTTTCCAGAATGGAGAAAAGTTTGAAATTGAAATCATGT